AAACAACAGAACAAGTTCTTATGTAATTTTCACTTCACAATTCTACTTTAAAGGCCCCAATGCTTTTGGTCAGGAGTGCAACAAATATGTTAGAATTATAAATCATCCAATAAGAATAAAAATAAAGAAAAAATGATGAGTAGAATTTTTCTGGTGGGTTAATGTGTTTGTCCTCTAAAGGAAAATATGCTTTAAAATATATTTTATCTTCTAAATATACATTTAAGCTAGTTTTTTTTGGCATAAAATAGGGTATAATTCCAGATAAAATGCGAATTTTAAATACTTTCATCTGTTTTAATTATGAAGTATTGGACTATAAGTATTGCACAATTTCATTACCACTTGATGTTGCCAACACTTTATGAATTTTTGTGTTCTATGGTTTTAATTTTAAACTTTACTGCAGTCAGGAGTGCAACAAAACTGCTTCATAATTACTGATGTTTTTTAACTACCTTTACTAAAAAATAAGTTGAAAAAAAATGCTTGATACTATTTGAAGTTCAAAACACTACGTCTATCAACAAATTACAGAAATTTAACAGTCAATTCAGGGAATAGTTTTCATCATTTCACAAATATTTTAAATAAAATTTATATATATTACCCTTTGCAAATAATCATGTTTTAAGGTCTTCAAAATATGAAAAACCTGCTGTAAACGATGAAAAATATCAACACGACAAATTGATTTACAAAGTAAGAATGGGTTATTGTGTGTTATAATTTTTAAAACAATGTTAAATAAAATACATATCAGATGTCAGGAGTGCAACACAATAATGTAACATAGGGTCACTTCAAAATCTAGTATTTTTTGTGAGAGAACTCGTATATAACGATTCTTTTTTGGCTTAGATTTAAAGAATTGACTTGAATGGACAAAAAAGTGAATTTTGGGGAATTTTATTGCTTCATATTTTTTTCATATTAAAACTTTTCAAACCAGAATTGAAAAAATAATGTAAAATAACAATCAAAAAGCCAATTTTTTGTCACATGTACAAGAGAAGATACTCATTCAAGGTCTAGGTTTAATCATTTATACCCCTTTTACCATTTTGAAGCACAAAAAACTATAATTTCTTGTGATTATGTATTTTAGAAAGTCTTTTAAGGTGTAATGATATTTTCTTTTTTCAAAAGAAATTTTACTAATAAAAATTCTGAAACTTTTTAATCCAATTGTCTATTCTATTGCCACTTCAGAATTTTAAACTAGAATGCATTTGCAATATGATGATATAAGTGAAAAATATGTTATAAGTACTTGAATTTTGCCAAAAAAATTCAGTTTGGTGGTCATTTTTTTTGAATTCACCCAGTTGAGCGGTTGAGACGTCGTAGCTTAGAAGTTGTGTGATTGAAAACATTACATAGCATGGATTTTAGCAACATATTTGGGAAGAAATTTGCAGTTTTAGCTCTATCAAGATGCTTAGTAACTATCTCTATCTTATGACAGGCCAGAAATTATTTTTTACTTACTTTGATCTTTCACACTGTGAGAGAATATCATTTTTGGTATTCTTTCACACTGTGAGAGAATATCACTTTTATTCAATATATAAATCACAGTATTTCACTGTTGAAAATGTAATAAATAAGTATACAAATTTTTAGATATCAGTTTAAAATATTTATACATTTGATATCATATAAAATTTATGATCAAGGCAATGCTACAAGATTTATCTGCAGGTGTAACCATTAATGCCTATAAGCTTTTGACTCTGAAATTAATCAGCTTCAGTTTTTCTCTTTGCTTCTGCCTGTCCATAAATGAACACTTTACTAGGTACTAGGATCTCCCATGCTTTGTGGTTGGATATGATTTTTTTATCTAACGAGTTGTGTGTTTTTATCCAGGAGCCTTGGTGAGGGTATAGAAACGCACACCAAGTAGGATAAAAATCATATCCAACCACATACCATGGGAGATTCTTTTTATCACATGTTTTTACACATAGCTATTTCATGTTTTACACTGTTTTATATACACTGTATATGTAAAACCACAATATTTGTCTTGATCAAATTCATGGAAAACTATTGTAACATATTATCACAACTGTTGATGTTAAAATGCTATCCTATGAGCTATATGCACTGTATAAAGGAGTAAACATGTGATAAATATTGATATTACATGAATAGATAAAATGATGTAATATCACTACACACTTACTGTCCTATATATACCTTAATTAAAACCTTTTTTGGAAGAGCTTTATAGAAGTCAGTTAAACCATATGATAGTGAAATTTTAGTTACATTTTAGTAAGATTTCATTACTTATTAGGAAATTAATATAAATTAATGCTGTGTAATTAATCATGGTAATAGTGATGTATTATCCAAAAATTATTTGCTGTGTGCACATTACTAGTATTAATTTATCTGAGGTACTTAAGATGAGGTCTCTGAAATTGAACATTTAAGCTCCCAAACCCCTTTAAAAATATATGTACAGTGTAACCAATTCCATATGCAATATTTTGTTCTAGAAAATAAAATTAAAAATAATGGTTTAAAAATGAGTTGGTCTTGACTTGACATTAAAAAAAAATTGGGATTAAAATTGTATTTGCTAAAAATATAATGTATAACTCTTCACAATATTTTCAGTTCAATTTTACCTATTTACATTAATTGCCGTAGTGTTTAAATCAGTAATACTGTATACAGGGAAAATTTCGCCCCCGTTTTATTTTCGCCCCTTTTGCCCTACTCACAGGTGGGGAAATTTAAAATAGAGCGATATTCAAAAAACACAGTATAATTTCTTAAACAGAATTGTGACTTGGTGAATTTAAAACAGGTTAAAATTGTTTGCAAGTGTGAAAGGGCAAAAATAAAATGGGGCGAAAATAACCTTGTATACAGTAACCATGCAATGAAATTCCAGGTTTTCATTGCATGGGGTTTGTCCTCTGCACTATTTCTTTGTGCCCTTATTTGGTTGACACAAAGTCAGAGGACCTGGCTAATTATATAGGTATCAGAGAAGAAAAAAATTAGGGGAGGTAATAAAGACAAGTTGTTTGATTATAGTTTCTGTAAAGTATGAATAACTAAATATATTTATCAAGATTGATTCAGAGGTAGGGTGGTAGAAACTAGGAGTAAAAATTAAATATAAGTGATTAGTATTTTAGTGTGTGTGTATGAGGATATGAAATAATGGACATTAGGGAGCATGGCATAATAGCTCACACACTCCCATCTCACCTATCAGCTTTATATACACAAAAATATATTTAATATGAGTATTTGTTTAAATACAGTAAAACCTTGTTAATATCTTGAACTCCATAGGATCAAGAAAAATTTCAAGAATAGATATGCGAAGATACAAGATATCAAGGGTAAAATACTTTAAGAATAAGTGGTTGGAATTTCCACATCACTTTGATAAATTATATACATGGTATTTGAGATATCGATGTTTGAGATACCGAAGTTCAACTATATTTAGTTCTGCATAGCATGTTTAGCATTGTATATGAATTTTGATTTATTTGGACCAAACAGTAACAACACAAATTTAGGGTGATACATTTAAGTCTTATTTAAGACTATATAGTAATGAAGTTCGAGCAGCTCTTATATTTTTTATGTTTTTTTTTATTTTTCTCCATTATGTTATGGCACTGTAAATGTTAGAATAATCAGTAAAAATAACTCATCTGATTTATTTTTTCATTCCATTTAAACAAAAGAACAATAGATGTGTGTCAAGGTTGTGTGATAGTTGTACTCTGGTGCCTATTTTGTCTCTGTATGGACACAAATCACCATCCACCACAGACTGTAAGATGAATTTGACGACAGTCAGGGACAATGTGTCTGGATAAAGTCAATCACCTCCAGGAATCGGACCGCTGTCTCTGACCCTCCATCTAGGTTGTTAAAAGGCTTGCCAAAGCTGTTTGATGTATAACTTCAGATGATAAAGTAACTGACGGCTTGTGTCATTCCTATCAATATTCTCGGCTCCGTTGGTTTCTTTTTTAAGGACAATTGCAATAGTTCTAGTGACATTTACGTTGGCTTCATGTTAAAGCCCTTTTGGGATTTGGTGCACTGTTCAATCAGTGAGTTTTAACTTTGACATTTTCATAAACTTAATTCTGGAGGCATTGGTGCAGGAAAATAGAAACACTAATATTATTTGTATTGTACTTGATTGCAGCTAGATTATTCGATTCAGTAAATGTATTAAACATTTGCATGAAGCAGTAACTCAGTGGTGGGATATTCTCAACACAGTCAAGTGTTCCCTTATGTCAGTGGTCGCGATACTGGTAAACGGTTATTGAATTAGCCTTCATCTGAGAGAGTGTTTATTAGTTTATTGACATATTTAAACTCAAGACATGCTGGTCATTAAACCAAGGATATTTCTGGCAAAAGATGGCTTTCTCTAAAGTAAAACTAAATGTTTATGAGATTAGTATGCTGTACGTAGCACCCAGTCCTCTTTCTTTCTTCCCCTTTCTTACAACAGTACAAGTAATAAGTATTCTAAAATATAATCACTTGCTTTTACTTATGGTCAACTATTAACTTAAGTAAGAATTAGGAATTGTATATTTATCCTTTTCCTATAGTATACCATATGTGTACTCAGCAACTGCTTTAATTAACACTTGATTTTATAATTAGCAGTTATCTTAATTAAGGATAATGCAGTGTATCCTGTAAGAGAGATGGGTAATATCATCTCTGCAGCTGTGTTTTCAACCTATAATGTGACATATTAAAAGAAAGTAAAACCTTTATTTTTCATTATTTTGACTACCAGTAAAAATTGTTCATATTTAGATTAAATGGATTTTCATGCAAATTTGTTTTTAGATTATGTTCATTTTGATAAAATTTTTGAAAATCTCACATGCATGAGTGTTTTAAGTTCCTGGAGTAATTTATCATTTTTATACAGAGGTTTATACAGAGATAAAATGTGGATTAAATCCGGAGTTTTCCACTTTCAGGCTCTACATCTGTATCTACTCATACTTCTGTTGCCATGACAACCAATCCCAGTGTGGAGAAGTCGTTGATGGCTAGAGATGACAGTCAACTAGAGGCCACCACCCACTCCCGTTCATCTTCAAAGAAATCCAATCACAGCATACACTCCACTCATAATGGTAATCTCACTTTACCATCCAGTTACAGTGGTAACCATGTAATACACTAATTACACTGCCCACTCCTGCTCATATTAAAAAAAGTCCAATCACAGCATACACTCCACTCGTAATGGTAATCTCGCTCTACCATCCAGTTACAGTGGTAACCATGTAATACACTAATTACATCACCCACTCCCGTTCATCTTTAAAGAAATCCAACCACAGCATACACTCTCATAACAGTTATCCTGCTAAATCCAACCACAGCATACACTCTCTTAACAGTAATCCTGATAAATCCAACCACAGCATACTCTCTCATACAGTTATCCTGCTAAATCCAACCACAGCATACTCTCTCATACAGTAATCCTGCTAAATCCAACCACAGCATACACTCTCTTAACAGTAATCCTGATAAATCCAACCACAGCATACTCTCTCATACAGTAATCCTGATAAATCCAACCACAGCATACACTCTCATACAGTAATCCTGCTAAATCCAACCACAGCATACACTCTCTTAACAGTAATCCTGATAAATCCAACCACAGCATACTCTCTCATACAGTAATCCTGCTGTACTGTCCACTGACAGTGGTAACAGTGTAATACACTACTTGTAATCATGTAATCATACATGTAATTGCTACTGCATTGTTTGCTCAAGCATAGTGGTAACACTGCTTAGAATAAGGGTAAAGACAAGCTGAAAACAATTACAACCTCACTACAGAATAGTGGTAGCCACTGTGTGGTAACCATGTTATTGAATAGTGGAAATCAGAATGTGGAATGAAGATAACCACACATTAGAACATTTAATAACCATGTTGAAGAGTAGAGGTAGCCACATAGTAGAGTGACAGTTGAATCAAATGAGGTCTTTTTAGCTCACCTTGAAGAAGTCAGGGGAGCTTATGCTGTAGGCGCTGGTGTTGGCGTCCCAGGTTAAAGCTTTTAGAGCAGTTTTACTCTCAAAATGCTTCAGTATCCTGTGTTAATCAAAGTTGTATGGATGATGCATCTAGTATGTTTCACTGTACCAGTCAGGTTTCAGATGCTGCATTTTCAGCCAATGTTTTCCATAAGGATGACCAGGTTTTTTGGAGCAGGTTAAAGTTATTGGAGCAAGTTCAAGTTTTAGGAGCCAATCTCATTTCTCTGTAGCAATATGCCCTACAAGTAACTGGACCAAACTTGCATGGATGATGAGTGAACAGACTAAAGTAGTTGGAGCAGGTATCATTCCATAGTAGCTATTTAATCCTATGGTGTCTAGACTTGCAGGGATGAGGCATCTAGGGATGTACACTACCAGATTTGCCTTAGATGCTGGATCTGACCTACATTTTCCAGATGAGTGAACAGATTACAGTATTTGGAGCAAGTATCATTCCAAAGTAGCTATTAGCCATATGGTGACTAAACTTGCATGGATGATGCATCTAGGGATGTACACTACCAGATTGCTTTAGATGCTGGATCTGACCTATATTTTTTGGATGAGTGAACAGGTTAAAGTTTTTGAAGCATGTACTTTCCAAGTAACTATATGTCCTACCTAGACCAATCTTAAATGGATGATGCATATAGGAGGCATGTTGCCTGACTTGCTTCGGATGCTGGATCTGACCTACAGTTTCCAGTTGATTGGACAGGTTAAAGTTCTTAGAGCAGGTTTATTCCTAAGTAACTTTCAAGCCATATAGTGACCTAACTTGCATGGAGGATGTGTATCGGTGTATTACTAGACTTGCTTAGGATGCTTGATCTGACCTTCATTTTCCAGATGAATAAACAGGTTAAAGTTTTCAGAGAAGATCTATTTCAAAGTAGCCTTTAAGCCGTATTGTGACTTGCATGGATGATGCATCTGAGGATGCACATTACCAAACATGCTTTGGATGCTGGATCTAACCTACATTTTTCCTTATGAGTGACCAGGTTTAAGTTTTTGAAAGATCTTTGCCAAAATAAATAAAGCCCTACCTTAAAAAGCTTGCATAGAATGATTAATTCACACTACCAGACCTGCTTTGGATGCTGGATTTATCCTTGATTAATGATTGAATAGTTTTTGTAAAAGGTACATACCCAAGTTACTATAACTCCTACCTAGACCAAATTTGTATGAATGTTGTATAGAGGGATACAAATTACCCAAAACATTTATTTGGTTTGGGACTTTGCCTTTGTTATTAAAGATTTCATTTGTCGAGTTGAGCTTTGTAATCTTTAATGTTTTATGATTTGTAGGTCACTCATTAGATTCTGTAGATCCATGGATACCTCAGTCCAATTCCTCCTTACCTCGGAGCAACAATGTGGAACTGAAATCCATTCAGAAGCGATTGGGCAGCAGCGATATCAAGGCGGGCCATATCTATCTGAAGGATTTAGTGTGTTTTCTGTCTCTGCTGGAGGCAGGGAGACCAGAAGACAAATTAGAATGTAAGTTCTTTACAGGGAAGTGTAGAATATAGGGGAAGCTTGAGAAGGCAATAAATGTGTGAGTATGAAGTGGAGAAAGTGTAACATGTAAGCAGCTCTTTTAACATAAAAGTTCTTAAGAAAAATGGAGATGTGATAGTATGCTGACAGAATAGTAAAGCTTATGGCCTTAATGTGCCTGAAGAAGGATCAAGGAGCTCAAGAATATAAGTACATCAGAAGTAGGCATAAAAATGGTTAAGACAAGTGGTGTAAGTAGGCGTAAAAACTGGTAAGAGTATGTTGTAGAGAAGAGGTAGGAAGTGGAAATCAGCAGATAAAGGAGCAGCTTTAAGACTGTTAAAGAATCCCTTTAGACCTGTTAATCCTACCCTGAAAGGACCTGGTTTCTGTAAATATAAAAATATAAACGGTATACTGTATAAATGGAATTTTTAGTGAGATGCAAATTTAGCGATTTGTCCTTGATAATAAGTATTTTATTTTAGCGAGAAGTAATTTTACTGATTTAGTGACGTCTATAGAAAGACAACAGTGACCTACAAAGAAGTATGAATTGTTAACAATATTTAATTTTAGCGATCTCAACACCCTCACTAAAAATGCCAAAATTGAATCCTCGCTATAATTTTTACTTATAATTTTAAACACTTAGAAATAGTAGGGTGGGGGATTAGCAGGCCTAAATGAAATATAAATGAAATGAAATATCTAGGTCTTATATGACACATTATATTTGTTAGCTCATTTTGAGGTAAAGTAAGTAAAATTACAAACATGAATTACATCAACATTACTAAAAATATATAAATTATATGGCTATGTAAAATCCAGATATCTAATCAGTTTATAAGCAGATATTGATTTAAAAGAGGAAACACAATAAATCAGTTTATCTGCATTGCCAATAATTTGTGAAAATCATTCTAAAAGTAGATTGATGGGTGGGGTAGGATTCTGTGTCTGATTTTAACTCAGGGCATAGAACTGGTGTGACGTCTGTAAAACAATTAGACAGACTGTTGGCTATAGTTAGCATTTATAACGTGTATGATATGTATTTTTGTATTTATTAGATCAGTGAACTTGTAATATGTACAATACACATTTGCCTCAGTCTAGAAATATTGAGTTTCTGATACAGGGAAGTGCCTTCTATTTTCAGTTTTAGATATAAAGTTATATCAAGGGAGATAACTAGTGTAAGCTGATGTAGGAGGTGCTAGCAGATTATCATCAATACAAATTAAATATGTTGCTGTCTAAATAAGCGAGGCCCAGTCAGATATACTGCCTTATGTAAAGCCCTTCCTACTGATGTCAGCTGTGAAGCGTAATGAGAATTGTGGATTTGGAATGGCGTTGACAGAATTAGGCTGCCCCTTGAGTCAGGCATACTGTGACATCATGGCACATTTATTGATCTGTTCCAACCCAATTATTAGTCAAGCTTATTTCTAGAACTGAAAGGTTATTCTAAGACAGTTTGATTTAAATTTGACTAATGAAAGATGAGGATGTTGCCTGAGAAGCAGGGTGTGCTGTCATTGACAGAATTGGGTTAAAAAGTACTAATTAAACTTGAACAATGTAAAAAGATAGATGTATTAAGTGAGGACTTTTGAAGAATAGTTGATCTTAAGAAATTATTTCAAATTCCAACAATTTGTTTTTGTTATTTTTGTTATTCATTTGTATAGCAATAGTGCAGAACATTCTGAAATGTTATCTGGCTATTTATATGTTCTTGTAAGTATGAAATATTTTCTGATTGATTGTTAATTCAGTTCATTGTAATTGAGTATTGTAAAATGACAAGTAACAAATATTCCATGTATAAACAAGGTGAATGTTTAGATATTTCTGACATGTTGTCTATTTTCAGTCATGTTTAGGTTGTATGACACAGATGGCAATGGATTACTAGATGCCAGTGTGAGTATCAAGTCACTGAATTATATTAATATCTCTATATTCTGAAACAGTTTTAAGATACATGTACATGTATATGTAAATTTTAGCTTTGTGGAGTATATTTTGTTAAAGATATGGGAATAAATTAAATGAGCTTTTTGACTTAAGTTCATTAAACTGTACAGGAAGAATAAGGAGATAGGTGGCTAAAAATATCTCAAGTGTACGAACCTGTATGTAACAATAACTGCATTATAAATGATTATTTTAGTAGGTGATATGAGTTGTCGCATTAAGAAGGGTTATAATTATATTTGTACAATGTGAGTTGATTTTTTAATTGACAGGAATTAGACTGTATAGTGAATCAGATGATGTCGGTAGCAGAAAGTCTAGGCTGGGATGTTAGTGAATTAAAACCTGTAAGTACCTCCTATTAGTAATGTAGTTCAGAAACCGTATAATTTCCTCCAGATCAGAAGACAAGTTTCTGGGCTTACATTGTATTATTCTATTATTCAGTCTATATGTATATGAGTATAATTGTTTAAAATTTGAAGTAATTGTGCTTGAAAATAAAAAAGAAAAAAATGTTTACGACTGAATTGTGATTATCTGCTAATAGTAGTTGGTATTTATCCTCAGATTCTACAAGATTTGTTGAAGGAGATAGACTATGATTCTGATGGGACGGTGTCTTTGGAGGAGTGGAAGAGGGGAGGGTTAACGACTATCCCTCTCCTTGTTCTACTAGGGCTGGACACTGTGAGTTTGTACTTAATCATTATCTTAATAAAATTGTACATATTTAATTCTGGAAAAAAAAATTGCATTGTACATAAAAAATCTTCTTTTTACAGGGTTATTTTCAACCTGTTACACTTGCAAACAATTTTGCCCCATTTTGAAGTAATCAAAACACAACTGTTTTAAAACAGATATTATTCATATATAATGTCCCCAGCTTTCACTGAAAGGGGGGATATTAATTTGGGTCGGTCTGTCTGTAACTTCTGTCTGCCTGTAACATTTTTGTTTCCGGGCACTATCTCGAGAAGCCTTTGAGCTTTTGCAATGAAATTGTACATCACAACTCCCTATGGCCTAAAGAAGATCCCTATTGATCAGTCAGGGGCATAATGCAAACAAGTTATTGTCAAAAATAACTCAAATTAGTTATTTTTTTTGTCACAGTGAGTTACCTCTCTTTGCTATGACCTACTTTTTCCCAGCATTAGTAACTCAAACACGTTATCTTTCCAAAATAGTTTCAATAAATTAATAACTTGTTTAAGTTATTTTGTGTCATTCCTCCCTAACTTCACATCCTGTGCACCAAAGGTTTTTGCTCGTGCACCAAAACAAAAACAAATGTTTGATTAAATTTAAATCTTGCTCAGTCCAGAAAAAATCTTCAAAGTCTTGGGAAAATTGGGGGAAGTTTTTTATTTAATGATAAAAATTGGACATATAAACCATGTAAATAAAACCACAAAATAAGGATTAAAATGCTGTTTATCTCCACCTCCTCACCAATTCTCTATTGGAGTCGGTGCACTCCATCTAGTTTTACATAATGGAATCCCAAAATGCAATGCATATTGGCAGGAAATACAAAACTCCCAAGAAATCAATGTCCAAGTAGGATATAAAAATAACTTATTTTAGTTATTATTAAAAAAAACTTTTGTGTGTGTAAAATAACTTATTTAAGTTATTTTTCTGATAACTTGTTTGAGTTATACCCCTGACTGATTGATTTTGAGGTGAAAGTTCAAGGTCATAAATTCATACATTCTCTCTGTGTGTAACACATTAGTTTCCAGGCGATATCTCGAGAAGCCATGGGCTTTTGCAATGAAATTTTATACCATAACTCCCTATGGCCCCGCCTGCCCCTTATAAAGTGTCCCATCCCATTGTTTCTTTTATTTTGGTCAATTTTTTTTTATCAAAAGTTAATTGGAAAATTTGTTGGCATCAATCACTCTTATAGTTTTAGAGTTACTCCCCATTTGTATTAAAAGTCATGTGGTACTATTTTTAGCACAGGAGCATGTGGAGAGTTATTATATATAATACAGGTTGTCGATGGACTTAATATAATTACATGGTAAATCTATTATAACTGTGTAGTAAAGGTTAAATTTAGACACCATGTGTTGTGTAAAATTTTGACAATATCGAATGTATCAAGAACGAAATATTGGACATTGTAAGGACAGTGCAAATCTGTGATATTTTTAGACAAAGTACAGGTATTTGTTGGTCAGACAAAAAATATATATTTAAAAAAAGGTCAATGAGAAGTGGTGAATAACATGTACCAGTAAAGCACCAATACATGTGCAAAGTACAGAATGTGGATCTGTGCCCAATTTCATACAAGCAGTTATGATGTGTGGCGTGTACAAACATTAATTCTCATAAAATCATTATTACAGTGTGATAAATATTTTATATAAAAAGAATATTCTGTATTTTAAAGAATAAGCAATCAAATCTATATATCCATATTGGTATTTAGAATGTGAAAATTTTGTATAAGAAAATTGTTATATAGGTGTTTACAGAAATAAAAAATAAAATCCGCCCACCCCCACAATTTTTAAGCAAATTAAGACAAAAATCTAAATTTATGTGGCATTAAAGCCAAAAGCTGAAAGGTCAAGGTTGACCTTTTTTCTTTCTCCATCTGCAAAATTATTCCAATTCTTCCATCTTCTTCCAGGCATGAATCCAGGAATTTTTTCGGGGGGGGGGGGGGGGGGGGGGGAGTCAAAAAAATTCAAACAAATTTCTTGACAAGCCAAAAAAAAAAAAAACTCAAGTTTAATGCAAACACTGATGTCAAACTCCAGTTTTATGCAAACTGATGTCAAAGGCAAAAGAGGAGAAAATAAAATGGGGGTGAAAATTTTTATGAAATAAAAACAGTAATACTGGGATGGTAATATGTGTCCATTAAACACAATGAAATGCAGTTTAAATTCTAGGGTAGAAAGCAATATATCTCTGTTATATGTCACACAGGAATAATTATATTACATTTTTAACAGAATGTGAAGGATGATGGAACACACACATGGAGACTGAAACATTTTAACTACAAACTAAAACCAGCATACTGTAATCTCTGTCTTAACCTCCTGGTGGGGCTGGGCAAACAGGGTCTTTGTTGTACATGTAAGTATATCCTAACCGCCTGGTAGGACTGTGGGTAATAGAATCTTTGTTGTACATGTAAGTATATCCTAAACTCCTGGTAGGACTGTTAGCAAACAGGGTCTTTGTTGTACATGTAAGTATATCCTAAACTCCTGGTAGGACTGTGGGGTAACAGGGTCTTTGTTGTACATGTAAGTATATCCTTAACTCCTGATAGGACTGTGAGCAAACAGGGTCTTTGTTGTACATGTAAGTATATCCTAAACTCCTGGTAGGACTGTGAGCAAACAGGGTCTTTGTTGTACATGTAAGTATATCCTAAACTCCTGGTAGGACTGTGGGGTAACAGGGTCTTTGTTGTACATGTAAGTATATCCTTAACTCCTGATAGGACTGTGAGCAAACAGGGTCTTTGTTGTACATGTAAGTATATCCTAAACTCCTGATAGGACTGTGAGCAAACAGGGTCTTTGTTGTACATGTAAGTATATCCTAAACTCCTGGTAGGACTGTTACCAAACAGGGTCTTTGTTGTACATGTAAGTATATCCTAAACTCCTGATAGGACTGTGAGCAAACAGGGTCTTTGTTGTACATGTAAGTATATCCTAAACTCCTGATAGGACTGTTAGCAAACAGTGTCTTTGTTGTGCATGTAAGTATATCCTAAACTCTTGGTAAGACTGTGGGTAAACAGGGATTTTTTTTGCACATATAAGTCCTGGTAGCCTGGCTTGGTAAACAAGGACTTTGTTGTACTTGTAAGTATATCCTAAACTCCTGGTGGGGCTGGGCAAACAGGGTCTTTGTTGTACATTCTTGTAAATGTACAGATAAATGATGGTACTTGATTAAGTACATTTTTTTAGCACAATTTGCTGCTAATTACTGTAGATAAATATTCATAATAAAGAATGTTAAAAATCAATGTAAATCAAGTACAGTTACTTCAACTATAGTGAAATTTATGCTCCATCTTACAAACTCACAAATTTTTCAGATTGTTGACATCCTGATAAAATAATATAATTTTAGAATTAGTGTTGGATTATGCTTTGGAAGTATAAATGTAATTTTGTAGAATAAAGAAAGTTAGCAAATGTTGACAAAATTTAATGTTTCTTTTAGTTTGTAAATACACAGTCCATGAAAGGTGTGTCCAGCGAGCACCAGCGTGTTGTATCACAACTTACGTCAAATCCAAGAGAACCCCACAGGTACGTATCCACACAATAGCATGGAACCAAAAGGCTGCTTCTAATTATTTAGACTTAATTCATACAGATAGATTTTCTTTTGTGTGACATATTTCAAATTTACCTTGTTTGATTGGCTGTCATATCAGCCAATCAAAGTTCATCTTTGCAGACATGCTGAACCTTGTTTCTATAATATAAAAATTATTGAGATTAAACACTGACATTTCCTAAGTCCCTTGATAGACAATGAAATACAACTTAATTAATGTAGAACATCAGATCCCTGTTCTGTAAAATCATTTGTCTAATTTTTGTATCAACCAGTTCAGCCTATGCTGTCTTTATATTTTTAAATACAATATTTTAAGTGTAGGAACATTTGTTTACATTTTATGTGTTTCAAATGGAGGGGGATATATTTGATTGTAGCTTAATTTTATCAAATTCCTCTCATGTAAAATGTAGATGTTCAAAGTCTCTCAGACAGATAGGTAAACGAAAAGGTAACCTACCTGTACTAATAAGCTTATTATCAATATTTACACACTTACATGTAAGTCCAAATTGAAATTTAAATTCTAGGGGTTATTTTTAGCTCACCTCGACGAAGTCGAGATGAGCTTATGCTATACCCCCGGCGTTGGCGTCGGCGTTAGCATCGGCGTCCCGGTTAAAGTTTTAGGAGCAAGTCCCATTCCCAAGTTACTATAGGCCCTACCTGGACCAAACTTGCATGGATGATGCATCTAGAATGGACACTGCCACACTTGCTTCGGATGCTGGATCTGACCTAGATTTTCCAGATGAGTGACCAGGTTAAAGTTTTTGGAGCAGGTCCATTCCCAAGGAACTATACGCCCCACCTGAACCAAACTTGTATGGATGATGCATCTAGGGATGGACACTACCACACTTGCTTCGGATGCTGGATCTGACCTAGATTTTCCAGATGAGTGAACCAGGTTAAAGTTTTTGGAGCAGGTCCATTCCCAAGTAACTATAAGCCCTACCTGGACCAAACTTGCATGGATGATGCATCTAGGGATGGACACTACCACACTTGCTTCGGATGCTGGATCTGACCTAGATTTTCCAGATGAGTGACCAGGTTAAAGTTTTGGAGCAGGTCCATTCCCAAGTAACTATAAGCCCTACCTGGACCAAACTTGCATGGATGATGCATCTAGGGATGAACACTACACACTTGCTTCGGATGCTGAATCTGACCTAGATTTTCCAGATGAGTGACCAGGTTAAAGTTTTTGGAGCAGATCCATTCCCAAGTAACTATAAGCCCTACCTGGACCAAACTTGCATGGATGATGCATCTAGGGATGGACACTACCACACTTGCTTCGGATGCTGAATCTAATCTAGATTTTCCAGATGAGTGACCAGGTTAAAGTTTTTGGAGCAGGTCCATTCCCAAGTAACTATAGGCCCTACCTGAACCAAATTTGCATGGATGATGCATCTAGGGATGGACACTACCACACTTGCTTTGGATGCTGAATCTGACCTAGATTTTCCAGATGAGTGACCAGGTTAAAGTTTTTGGAGCAGATCCATTCCCAAGTAACTATACGCCCTACCTGAACCAAACTTGTATGGATGATGCATATAGGGATGGACACTACCACACTTGCTTCGGATGCTGGATCTGACCTAGATTTTTCCAGATGAGTGACCAGGTTAAAGTTTTTGGAGCAGGTCCATTCCCAAGTAACTATAAGCCCTACCTGGACCAAACTTGCATGGATGATGCATATAGGGATGGACACTACCACACTTGCCTCAGATGCTGAATCTAACCTAGATTTTCCAGATGAGTGACCAGGTTAAAGTTTTTGGAGCAGGTCCATTCCCAAGTAACTATAGGCCCTACCTGAACCAAACTTGCATGGATGATGCATCTAGGGATGAACACTACCACACTTGCTTCGGATGCTGAATCTGACCTAGATTTTCCAGATGAGTGACCAGGTTAAAGTTTTTGGAGCAGATCCTTTCCCAAGTAACTATAAGCCCTACCTGAACCAAACTTGCATGGATGATGCATATAGGGATGGACACTACCACACTTGCTTCGGATGCTGGATCTGACCTAGATTTTCCAGATGAGTGACCAGGTTAAAGTTTTTGGAGCAGGTCCATTCCCAAGTAACTATACGCCCTACCTGGACCAAACTTTCATGGATGATGCATCTAGGGATGAACACTACACACTTGCTTCGGATGCTGAATCTGACCTAGATTTTCCAGATGAGTGACCAGGTTAAAGTTTTTTGAGCAGGTCTATTTCCAAGTAATTATAAGCCCTACCTAAACCAAACTTGTATAGATATTGATCTTGGGATGTACACTAACTAGAAAAAATATGATGTGAGATTTGCCTTACTTATAGATAACCTTCGTCGAGGTGAGCTTCGTAATCTTTGATTACCTATGTTTTCATTTCCCAATTCATACAGTTTTCATATATTTGAAAATTTTCCCTGTACTATAAAATAAATGCAGATTTGACTGGCTTTAGTTAGAAAAATTTTACCTTTGAATTTATACATGCTCTTTCAATTAAAAATTTCTAACTTGCTTTCGAAATGGGCTAAATTTTCTAACAACATGTACGTTTATTGATTCTGTGCAAGCTAGGCTTCTTGAATGTAGGATTATTTTTATGTTCAGCATACATGTATAGGCTAATGTAAATACTACATGTACCAGGTTATATGAGTTCAACCTAATGTTTTTGTATAACTTAAATGAATTATTATTCACTCTGTGAAAAAGTTACCAGTTCTGTAGTAAGCTGTCAACAAAATGAAAAATAAAGCTGATTTTCTGAGCACATATGACCTGGTCTTTACTTACTGCTACACAATCATTTTGCCATTAACTTCCACCTCATTACTTATAACAGGACCGGCCACAGGTAAAGTCCTACTGTCCACTGATTTTAGATTTATATATATATATATCCTTGGTTGAGATTTGTTTTTTTTTTTTGAATGCCTTGATTGTTCCACGTCTTATATATCTATAAATGTTGTGGTTTGGGATGAGGTTGAACCCATGCTTGAACATTTCGTCAAGTAATAAATCAAAGACATTTTATGATTACCTGCTTATTTCATGGACTTCAGTGTGACACGTGTAGCGAATGATTTAAAATGTAGATCAGGTCATCATTTAAATCCTAGAAACTTTATTGTTCATTGCTGTAACATGTAATATGTTGGGGTCAAAGTACATTGTCTTTGTTAGGAAGCATTATCTTCATACATAAAACTAATTTATAAACCAGTTCATCATTAATGAATTGTGCGAGAAAACAAGACTTGGGTTGGCTGACATCAGACCTGCATGTCAGACATTAAGTACACAAGACCTGAAAATTGTGGGCTACCTAATGTCAGAACTACTAGAAGTGTTAAACTATGGGCTGATATCAGATTTGTATAACAGACCTGAAGTACAGAAGACCTGAAAATTGTGGGCTACCTAATGTCAGAACTACTAGAAGTGTTAAACTATGGGCTGATATCAGATTTGCATAACAGACCTGAAGTACAGAAGACCTGAAAATTGTGGGCTACCTAATGTCAGAACTACTAGAAGTGTTAAACTATGGGCTGATATCAGATTTGCATAACAGACTTGAAGTACAGGAGACCTAGCATTGTGTGGGCTAGTTAATGTCAGACTAACATAATAGAGCTAAAGCATACTATTACATGTACTAGAACTGACAAATTGTGGGCTAGCTGATATCAGATCCACTAGAACTGACAAACTATGGGCTAGCTGATGTTAGACTTTCATAACAGAAATGAAGTGTACTAGAACCTAACAAATTGTGGGCTAGCCATTGTCAGATCCACTAGAACTGACAAATTCTGGGCTATCTAATGTCAGGCTTGCATACCAGAAATGAAGTGTACTAGAACTGACAAATCGTGGGCTAGCTATTGTCAGATCCACTATAACTGACAAATAGAGGGGTGGTGGTGGTGGTGGGGGGGGGGGGGGGGGTTAGCTATTGTCAGATCAGCTATGGGCTTGCAGATGTTAGATTCACTAGAACTGACAAATTGTGGGTGTCTGGTTGTGATAGAGCTAACAACTTAAAACTGACAGTGAGTTTTTAGAACTAATAGTGAATTTTTCAGACCTGACAACTAATTTTTGATTTAACAGTGAGATTTAGAGCTGACAGCATAATTTTATTTTGACAATGTGTTTTAGAACTGACAGTGAATTTTTAGAATTGTCAGTGGGTTTTCAAACTGACAGTGAATATTTAGAATTGACAGTAGGTTTGAGAATTGACAGTAAATTTTTAGTAAGAATTGATGTTGAGTTTTAGAACTGACAGCAAGTTTTAGAATTGGCAGTGAATTTTTAGAATTGACAGCAAGTTTTAGAACTGACAGTGAATATATAAAACTGACAGTGATTTTTAGAACTGACAGTGAATTTTTAGAACTGACAGTGAATTTTAAGATAAGAACTGACAGTGAATTTTAAGAACAGACAGTGAATCTTAAGAAACTGACTGTGAATTTTAGAACCACTAGTTTTGGACTAGAAACTATGAGAGCTGATGAGAATTATGTATAAAGAAGCATGCAGTATAATTTCAAACTGATTCTTCAATTCTTATGACATTATATTAAGATGATCATAAAATGGCTTTTATAGAACTTTTAAATATTGTAAATGGATAGGAAAGTAAAAGCATGGTGATCGGTAGTTGGAGGTAGAGGGTCTGGAAATTAGGAATCGTCAACATTCACTACGTTTAAGTGTATTTAGCAGGTAAAGTTGTTCCTCTTTGTTTGGGGATGCATCCTTGGAAAAGGTTATAATAAGCTGATGTATAGATCATTATCAAAATAAAACCTCTTACAATCGAGAGGTGATTGTAATATTACATCCTTGGTGCAGATTTTTTTTTTGAGCTGAAAGTTCTTGATTGAAATAAATCTTAATAGATTTATAAGGAGTGATTTTGACAT